GGTGCAGCGGTCACATAAATTCTGCCGAGCTTTTGAATGGTTGTATACGACAAGACGATAATTCTTCCATCGTGCAAATTATGGTCATTTTCGTCAGTTAAGGCTCGTTAGCATTCGGCCTGCTTTAAATCAGACACAGAGATGCAGTGCGGTAATATTGCATTTATTTGAATTAATTAGACTAATTATATCATTTATTTGAATTAGCGCGTGCGAGAGAGAGAGAGAGAAAGAGAGATGAAAGTTGCGTGTGTGAATCTGCATCTGCTCGTCTCTCTCTACAAACATTGAGGCTTAGTTCCTTCAAAAACAGCGATTTTACCCCCTCATTGCAGAGAAATATAATGTTGCGAGTCAGTAGCCTGTCGAAGCTATTTTACTAATAAAAGTTACCGTGCTGTGTTGTCGTGTGCAATAATGTGTGTGCGTGCGTCTATGAAAGCAGCGTAGCCTGCATATAGTTTTAGTTTAGCTATAAACCCGAACCCGACCCGAAACCCGAAAGTAGCGGACCTCTATGTTGAAGGTGCATACCACCACCTACTGCACGACACCGGCATGACAGTTGATTAAAAAAAGGATCGGGCTTAGGATAGCTGAACAATTATAAAAAATGCTTGATCGGCCCGGATCCCAATCCTTGAGATTGTCTCAGGACATCCCTACTTCATAATCTAAATCTGATGTCACCTAGGCCATGTGAGCGGGAATGGTAGTCACTTTTCACAGTCCAGTTTTGATATGTTTTTATTTAGACATCAAATTGATTTATTGCCATCGAGTCGCTCGCACACGTGCTGCAGATGTTTTCTCTCTTTCTCTGATAGGATCAAGTGTAGTCTTTGTTGGTGGTGCTTTCTGTCTGTCTGAGTGTTTCTCTCTTTCTGTTCACCTGTTTTCTGCCTCTCATTGGCTTTGCTTACAGGAAGAAGAGGTGGAAGAGTTTAGGGTAAGTGTGCTGCCCTGCATGTCCTGATTGTGTCATGACCATTAACCTGGACACACCAACTCCTGCGACTCTTCCTTCCTCTCTCTCATCCTCTAAACCATTGATCTTCACGTAATGTTCATGCTCGTCGGTTTCGGGTTATTTGTGTATTTTTTGCATTAATGGAACTGAACACGTTGCATGGCCGCATTACGCTGCTGTAGTCATTGTTCGCTTAGAGTGGCAAGTATATGAGGTTTAATGTTTCATATTCACAAATAAACGGAAGGACTTTTACAAATAGAGTTCTACAAATACACTACTGGTCAAAAGTTTGGAATAATTAAGATTTTTAATGTTTTTGAAAAAAATCTCTTTTGCACACCAAGGCTATTTTTGCTCATTTATTTGATCAAAAGATACAGTAAAAACGGTAATATTGTAAAATATTATTTAAATTTTAAATAACTGTTTTCTATGTGAATATATTGTAAAATGTAATTTATTCCTGTGATCAAAGCTGTATTTTCAGCATCATTACTGCAGTCTTCAGTGTCACATGATCCTTCAGAAATCAGTATAATATGCTGCTTTGTGGCTCAAGAAACATGTCTTATTATTATCAATGTTGAAAAAACTTAATATTTTTTGTGGAAACCGTGATGCATTTTATTTTTTAGGATTCTTTGATGAATAAGAAGTTCAAAAGAACAGAATTTATTTGAAACAGAAATAAATGTCTTTTTTTATAAAATCATTTTTAATCAATTTAATGTGTCCTTGCTGAATAAATGTATTTTTATTATTTTTGATCTTACTGACCCCAAACTTTTTACCGGTAGTGTGCATGCAAGAAACTCATAACCATACATTAAAAACAATATTCACAGAAATGACTTTTAATTTTTTTCTTTGCAAGACCAGAAAAAAAATTGTATATCATCAGGTTTAATTTATTTGTGAAACCATTGTCTGTCGACTGTCCTCCCATTTATTAGTGAGCATCAGCCCATAGGAATGAAGCATCTGGCGTATTTGTCTCACTCCTCATCCTCTCTGTTTCCTCAGGTCTCTGAGTCAGGGCAGCACCAACTCAAACCTGCTGGACGTTCAGGGCAGTCACAAGAAGCGCGTGCGGCGCAGCTCTCTGCTCAACGCCAAGAAGCTGTACGAGGACGCCCAGATGGCCCGTAAGGTGAAGCAGTACCTGGCACACCTGGAGGTGGAGATGGACGAGGAGAAGTTCCAGATCATGTCGCTGCAGTGTGAAGCGGCCTACAGCACATGTGCGTACCGTATATGACCATATTCTACATCCCTAATCCGACCCAATACCTAAACTAACAACTACCTTACTAATTATTAATAAGCAGCAAATTAGGAGTTTATTGAGGGAAAACCGTAGTTAATGGTTTGTTAATAGCGAGATTTGGACCTTAAAATGTGACCACAAAATTAAAGTCAGGCCTTTCTGTTTTTGCTTTAAATTTTGAAATTATACAATTGATTTTAAATCAGAAACTGCTCATGTTGCATGTTTGCAGCATCTTTGTTTGGATCGTGAGAAATGCAGTGGTTGTCTTTCATTTTAAATGGAAAGCGCACAGGCAAAGCCTTAGTTTGTTTACATGAAGAGATTTACTTATTTGATTTGGGATTTGTTTTAAAATTTCAATTTAGTGTTGTTATTTGACACATGTGACCCTGGAGCACAAAACCAGTCTTACGTCGCTTGGGTCTATTTTTAGCAATAAGCCAAAAAAACATTGTATGGGTCAAAATGATTGATTTTTCGATAGATCATGTTCCATTAAGATATTTTGTACATTTCCTATTGTAAATATATTAAAACCTAATTTTTGATTAGTAATATGCATTGCTAAGAACTTCATTTGGACAACTTTAAAGATGATTTTCTCAGTATTTAGATTTTTTTGCACCCTCATAATTCCAGATTTTCAAATAGTTGTATCTCGGCTTAATATTGTCCGATCCTAACAAACCATACATCAATGGAAAGCTTATTTATTCAGCTTTTAGGTGATGTATAAATCTCAATTTCAACAAATTGACCCTTATGACTGTTTTTTTGGTCTAGGCTCACATATTTCAATTTCACAAAGAAATGTGCAGCCCAGATGGCCCGTAAGGTGAAGCAGTACCTGGCACACCTGGAGGTGGAGATGGACGAGGAGAAGTTCCAGATCATGTCGCTGCAGTGTGAAGCGGCCTACAGCACATGTGCGTACCGTATATGACCATATTCTACATCCCTAATCCGACCCAATACCTAAACTAACAACTACCTTACTAATTATTAATAAGCAGCAAATTAGGAGTTTATTGAGGGAAAACCGTAGTTAATGGTTTGTTAATAGCGAGATTTGGACCTTAAAATGTGACCACAAAATTAAAGTCAGGCCTTTCTGTTTTTGCTTTAAATTTTGAAATTATACAATTGATTTTAAATCAGAAACTGCTCATGTTGCATGTTTGCAGCATCTTTGTTTGGATCGTGAGAAATGCAGTGGTTGTCTTTCATTTTAAATGGAAAGCGCACAGGCAAAGCCTTAGTTTGTTTACATGAAGAGATTTACTTATTTGATTTGGGATTTGTTTTAAAATTTCAATTTAGTGTTGTTATTTGACACATGTGACCCTGGAGCACAAAACCAGTCTTACGTCGCTTGGGTCTATTTTTAGCAATAAGCCAAAAAAACATTGTATGGGTCAAAATGATTGATTTTTCGATAGATCATGTTCCATTAAGATATTTTGTACATTTCCTATTGTAAATATATTAAAACCTAATTTTTGATTAGTAATATGCATTGCTAAGAACTTCATTTGGACAACTTTAAAGATGATTTTCTCAGTATTTAGATTTTTTTGCACCCTCAGATTCCAGATTTTCAAATAGTTGTATCTCGGCTTAATATTGTCCGATCCTAACAAACCATACATCAATGGAAAGCTTATTTATTCAGCTTTTAGGTGATGTATAAATCTCAATTTCAACAAATTGACCCTTATGACTGTTTTTTTGGTCTAGGCTCACATATTTCAATTTCACAAAGAAATGTGCAGCATTTTGTCTGAGAAATAATAAAAGGACACCTTTTCATTTATAATGAATCTCATTTTGTTCAAATATCGTGAGAAAATCGTGTCAGTATCTTATCTGAGTTGAGTGAATCGTTACATCCCTACATTCAGCTGATTAGTAGCACCTTGTTCTGCTGTAGTTTTGTTCATGCTCATGATGATAATGCTTCATGTAAAGTGGTTTGGGTTCTTTTCGTTGATCTCAAGTAGGGCTGAGTGAGAAGAAATGTGTGGACCACCAGAGATTTTACTATAGCCTCTGACAAAAAGAATAATGTCCCCCAGTGAAACTCAGCTGACGGTGTTGTGTGTGTTTTCCTGCAGTGTCTAAGAACCTGAGCGAGCGGCGCTCCACTAAATCAGACATGTCCCCGGTGTCCATGCGCTCCAGTGTGTCTTCAGCCAAGCCTCAGAACCGTGTCTCTCAGGTGCTGCAGGTGCCTCCCGTCAGCCTTTACCCTCTGCGCAAGAAGAGCATCGCCAAAGACCTGTCCGCTTCCTTCAGTACGTGACCCATCACAACCCATTTCACAATACTGTGTTCATCATCATCATCATCTAGATTTTTTCAGTCCTCATACACAATTCCATAATAATTATGCATAATTTCACATAATAACCAAAAAAGTTTTTTTATTTAATTTTAATTTTATGTACCATTTTCATAATAAGCATCACTTCCACTACTAAATTTCAACTATACAAAGATACAAAATCAAATCTTATTAAATTTCTTAAGACCTTTATACTATACAGAATTGAAAATGTAATGAATGAATACAACTTTCAAGTATTTTATGTGCAAATGATTTATTTTTAGTTATATATTTGTTTATAACCTTATTTTTTTACTTTTTTATATAATATATAATATACACATATTGAATTCCTTGGCATTGTTATTCCTTAATTTCACTCCTTTGACAGATATTTATCTATTCTTCACCGTAAACTTGGGACTTGAGACTCTCTCTCATTTCAAACAGTCTCTGAATACATTTGGGAAGTAAACTGTTTTTTGCTTTATACATTATCTGAGCAATTTTGAAAAATCAACCAGATCATCACATTTTTTTAATTATTTTCTTGCTCAGTATTCTTATCAAGTATACCCGATAAGAAAAATTACTTGTTAGGTCTTGTTTTCTGAAAAATGTATCAAAATTAAATGTTTATACTTGAAACAAGAAGAAAAAAAATCTGTCTATGGGTAAAGAATATAAACTTTATACAAAGAGAAACTGAACGTTGATTTAGCTTGTTTCAAGCTTAAACATATTGATCTTTTTTCAGAAAAAAATATCTCAGGTTAATGTATCTTGATTTAAGAATGTTTCGATATTTGTAACGGAAAACAAGACAAAAATACAGAGTAAGAAAATCACGTTTCGCAGTGTGGAAACGCTCACAGGTGGGTTGTTTAATTTCATTAGCGATAATACCTTCTCACCATCAGTTCCTGTTCTGTCTTCACTATTGCTCTGAAGAAAGGTAGCAAAAATCAAACCAAATGAATGTGATGACACAAATAGCCACAGCAGCATTTTACAGTGTGAACATCATGACGTTTCTAGAGAAGTTCATTCTGCTAGCAGCTCATGCTCATCAGTGATAATGGCTCTCTCTGCTGTCCGTGTCTGCTGTGCTCTTCAGGTCCCAACTCACCTCAGATGCTGAAGAAAGCAGCTGGCGCGGCCGATGACATGAGCATCAAGAGACCCGACGACACAGCCACCGTCTCGTCCCTGCACTCCAGTCCTACCGTCTCCCCACAGGGATCTCCTCGCAAAGGTACGACCCCGACAAACCTCCAGTCAGCCTTCTAACCTCATCTGTAGATCAGTAAACACATGCATTTCCCCGTCCTGATCTTCAGCTGTATTCAGCTCACGAGTGGCTCTCAAGTTCTTGTCATTTATTTAATCTAAGCGGAAGCAGTTGTTATATTTGATACATAGATTTCGAAGGCCTCTAAATTATCAACATGATCAAAACTTGATGAAGTGATTAATAGTTCATCATAAAAGTATAATTGTACAAACGTCAGCTCATACTTCACTTGTCTTTTTGCTGTGACATCTTTACTTATTTTTATGAAGTGAACATAAGAATAACTTTGATATTCTTAGTAATATTTCAAGTTGAACACTTACTGGACTGAAGCAGCTTTGCTTTACTTGATTATCCAGCCATCATTTTTTAGAAAAATTAGTGAGTCTCAAATATAATCATCAGGCTTTTGAGGAACGTTTATTTTTTAGTCTCTCAATCATCATTGGATTGCATTGCTTTATATGTTTTGGTCATCAAACTAAGCATTAAATGTCATCTTACTAAGACATGTTATTGGAGATATAGAGTGACAGCTGATATTTATATCATTTTATGTAAGTATCTGCTATACTGTTATAAAGATCTCATTGATTTACATTACAAGCATCAGAATTTCATCACTTTTTTCCATATAAATATCAGCATTTGCACCAAATTGTATATTTTTGCTCAGTTTGTGTCACTATATCATACTATATGAGCCATAAAGGCCTGATGTATCAACTATGACAGAACAAAAATAAACTGTTCAATAAACTGTTCCAGTTTTCAGGCTATTATTTCACATGACAGGCTTTACAGTGTTAATTGTGTCTTTCGTGATATTCATGCTTCAGTGTTTATGAAATATTCCCATCATTCCCTCACAGTGGGCGGAGCTCCCAGACAGAACTGCGGTCAGCTGAACCTGTCGGGTTCGTCCTCGTCTCTGGCCAGCGAGGTCGGCGTCAGGACGGCCGGAGGACGCACGTATGGCATAGGTGGGGCTTTCCTTCAGAGACAGATCCTGAGGATGACCTGTCAGAGCGGCAGACAGGAAGAGAGCAGACAGGGACAGGAAGAGACACGCAAGCGCTTCAGGTCCCCCTTCAGACTATGGAGAGACAGGAGCAAGTCCAGGGACAGAGCTGGGACAGTGAGACAGGATGAGCTGCAGGCAGACAGTCTTAAGACAGACAGACACAGGAGGAGGACAACTGTGTGACTGATTATTATGTGCTGTTCATATTCCTCCGCATCAGTGTAGTTCAGCCAAAAATGAAGCTCCTGTCGTCATTTATTCAGATTCATCTGTGCATTTGAATAATGAAGTTGCATGTAGGGCTGGGCGATATAGCAAAAAAAATTATCAACGATTCCGAGGTAGCGTATCCCACAACACCTCAGAGAGTCTCGAGCTAAAGCAGCTTGATCCGAATCGTTTCTGCTGGATTCATGCTGTAATACAAGTTTGAGCATTTTCAGGTTTTTTAAGAAAAAGGCTTAAAAAGTCTTAATTCACCCTTCCACAAATGAAGGCCTTAAATTGGTGCAGAAAGTCTTAAATTCATAAAGTCAAGGCATTAAATGTTGCACGCACTTTAAAAATTCATATCTTTCTCAGTATTCTTGTTTTGCTTTCCAATACAAATATCTTTTATATTATATTCAAGATAAAAAAAAAAAATTTATGTAGTCTTGTTTTCTGAGAAATTGAACAAAATGATACCTGTCAATGGGGAATGAAAACTTTCCCTTTAATTTAAATAGATTTTTTGAGCCCGTAGGCAGATATTTGTTGGTTTTAATCATAAACTCACTTCATTTTGATCAGTTTCTCATAAAACAAGACTTCTTATTTTGCTACCCAAGTAAATGTATCTTATTTAAGAGTCTTTAGACATTTGCACTGAAAACAAGACAAAATACTGAGGAAGAACAGCACTTTTTTTGCAGTATGATCACAGACCTGCCAACCTGTACGCATTTTGACCTTAAAGTACACTGGTACAATTTGTCACTCTAAACTATGCAAAAACCGGGTGACCTGTCCACGTGCAGTAAACAAGCAACACAAAAAGATGAGGAGTTCAACCAATCAGAGCATTTTCCGTGTTTTTTTTATTTCTCTCCAAACTGACTCTGTTTGTGTGTCCGTGAGTCGTGCACTGAGATGAGGAAACAGGTGTATGGTATGGTATGGTATGAGTCGTGAGCTCTATTTCTTCGGTGATGCATATGTGGACTTTCTGCGCAGGGGTGCCCTCTAGTATCCAGTTTGAATGAAACAGACATTACATGTGTTCATAGCACTAAATAATGGCCAATCTATAAAAATAATACTTCTCTCAAAATAAATGTACGGTAGACATGTGATAATCCATGTTTTTCTACAGTATACAACAATGTACTGGAGTTAGTTTTTTTAAAATAGCATTTAAAATCGCTAAAAAGAACTCTGTTGTGCAAAACCATCAGAACCAAACTAGCACTTATAAGTCTGCAATCTGCCGTAAAGCAAGAAGAAGAAGAAGACGCGTCTGAGAACACGCTCAGGACAGTTCGGACATTGCGGTGAATCAGAGAATAGTTTTTGGGTGAACTATCCCTTTAATGTAAATCTGCTTGTGTTGTGTCTGGTGCAGTTGTGTCAGTGTCTTAGTGAATGTCTTTTTGATTTACGTACCCCTTTTCATTCATTGATGTTTGCTTTGTGTGTGTGTGTCTGTGTGTTTTGTTTCTTTCTGTGCTCCTTCCCCTTCATCACGTCACTTCCTGCACCTCTCCGCCTGCTTCCTGCCAGTGTACTGTGTAACGTCACCCTGCAAAGACGATAGGCTCAAAGCGCCGCCCCCGACTCCGCCGGGGTACCAGGGCCTGACGCTGGGCGACGCGCAGGACGGAGGAGCCTTGCGGCCGGCCCACGTAAAGCCGCCCGAGTATAGCGTGGCCTTGCAGAGGTGCAAGCTGCGACACAGCCTGTCCAGACCACCCAGTGTTACTCTCCATTCTCACGCTGATAGTGAGGAGGGTATGTGCTCAAACCCTGCAGAGCAGAGAAACACGTCCAGCTCGCATTTCACCCCTCAATCCCAAGACCTAAATGGTATTTATTTGACACCAAGAAAATATGATTTTTGGCTACTTCTACATTACACTAGCGTGCTGAATTTAGTTACATTCAAGCCATTTTAAGGATTTTAATTATTTTCGCTGGAAAAGTTTAAAAATGTCAGTTTGATTAACAATGATGAGTTTTAAGGGATAGAATTAGTGACTGCACTGGGTTTATTTGAATGCACTTCATCTATTTGCATCTGTAGTTTTAAGTTACATATCTTTAAAAGATTTGATCCACAAATCTCAAATTCAGCAGTACATCAGACTTTACAGTTTTATTCCTATTTATATTTTGAAGGGTTCTCCAGAAGGGTTTGTTCATATGTCATTCACCTACTATGGTGATGTAGAAGTGCTTTACAGTGTAAGGGGCTGTTCACACAAAATGCGTCTAAAAACACGAGACGCAGCGCTCAGGAATGGATTTTTAAAAAGCGCAGCGCAAAATGCCTCCTCCGCCATGTTGCCGTCAAATAAAACCACCTTGCTATTGTAAACAAAAGCTTGCAACGCTTGCCCCGCCTCCGGGCTCTTCTGATTAGTGGAACTGACACTGATGAGCGGCGCTGCGTCTAAAAGTTGAAATTCTTTTAACTTGACACAGCGTCTTAAAAATGCAGCGCTCGCATGCGAGACACATGTCGGTCTAGCACATCTACATAGAAAAACAATGGAAAAGTAGTGCATTGAAATGAAAAAAAACCCCCCGCATTCTGTGTGAACGGCCCCTAAATGATATGCTTTTCTTCAGTGAGTGCACAAAGTCATTACAATCCAACTTATCACATGAATGAACCTTTTTCTTTATTTACAGTGGGGTGAAATGTGGCCTGGTCGTGTTTTAGTGCCATCGGGTGTAAATAGCGTTGCTGTGGGTCAGTGTTGATGAAGCGCTCAGTGCAGACCAGCAGTGATGGTTTGAACTCAACCTCATGTGCTTATCCTCCTGTGTGTCTTTCAGATGAGCAGGTTTCTGCCGTGTGACTGGACATCAGCGCTTCACGGACACTCCTGCGTTAAACTCCAGGTTCGTGCCGGAGATGGTACTCTACATGTTTGCAGCATCTTTGAGGTCATTTAACGTCAAAACAAGCCTATTCTTGATCATCGATCAACTCAAGACGGACGTTTTTTCAGTGACCGGTGAAGAAAGATCTCGCAGAAATGAAGCCTCCACCGTCTCTCCCAATGCTTCCTTAAGCTAACGTCTTATTTTTCACCCACCTGTCACGCACTTTTCACCGTCCACTCAGTTCCTCTCGGAGAAAACCGATTTGATGCATGCAGCACCTCTTGTACCCAACACAGATCAAACATGCTTCAGAGACAAACCTTTATGGTACTTTAATGATGCACACTCTTCTGGTTTGCTCGTGAAGTTGAACAAGCTTTGTGAGATCAGGACGGATCATGATTTCAGCATCTGACGTGTTTACACACATTCTCGGTTTACAGTGTTTCTTCTCGCTGAAATGCGCATCGTGCTGCGTCTGCCTGTTTTTTTTACGCAATAAGGATGGTGCGGATGCGTCGTCTGATTTGTACAGTCTCAGCTATTGGATTTGCTACTCCTGTCGTTGTACATAGTGAGCGAGATCGATACTGCTTGTCAAGGGAAAATATATTTATATGCTAGATGTGCATTTTCATTCCTTGTTAGCTCGTGCTCTTTGGACGAGAAAATTTGTATAGAATGCAAAAACGGTTTAATAGCTGTTGCTTTCTGTAAGCAAATAAATACATTTGTACATGAACTAAACCTTAGATGTATAGGGTTGAAATTAAACAAATAAATGTATTATATTAAGGGACATAACTGGAGTATTACATTTTTATCATTACCTGTCTGGACCCAGATGCTTTTCTTCTTGTTATTTTTTTGTATGTGTTGTATTGTCAACAGCATTGATTGTATTAATGATATAAGCATAAGGGTTTTTTTACTGTATGTTTTGTTGTAAATTAATGTTACTGATCATGTACAGCTGAGAAAAGAGTGCGCTATATAAACTGTATTTTCACTATTTTGTTGAAATAAATCTGGGGTTGTGGCTGCTCCTGTTACTGGGCAGAAGTTATTTGTTTCCCTAAACTCTGCTAGTAATGATACGGGTTCAGTGTTACCGCCTTTCAAACTGCCTCATCTTTGTACTTTTTGTTCATAAATACCCTGAAACATGAGCACGAGTTTCATATTTTGTCAGAATTTGGTTTGAAGAGGAGAATCATCAGGACTGGACTGGAGCTAATTCAGCCTATCCGGCCCACATGTTCCCCCATTAATGTTTTGCTGGGGTTAGAGCATTTAAATTGGAATAAATCATTTATAAATAAATAAAAGACAGAAACAAATAATAATAGATATTTGTGAATAAACTGCAAATGCATTTAACAATATTAAAATTCCATTATATTGCAGGCTCTTAATATTTGACTTCAATTAAAATTTATTAAAATTCTCCTTTGTAGTTGTAGCTGAAAAGCTGCTGTAATTCTTGAATCCAGAGATAAATGTTGTATTAGTAAGATCATGACTCGGATAAAAACCATGCTCCTCATTACCATGGTTTTATGGTTTCTAATACAACAACAAAACTAAAAATACTACTACTAATAATAAATATAACACAATGCAGAGCTGGAAGAACTCTCCCAATTAGAATATATAGGGTTCAGACGCTCAGGTGAGAATAAAAACAAACAAGCAAAATGGTTGAAAGATGAGTATGGAAGCAAGTTTACGCCACTGTAAAATAAAAAATAAAAAGGTAATTGTGACTTTTTATCTCACAATTCAAAGTTGCCAGACTACTCTGAGTCACTAAAATTCTCCTTTGTAGTTGTAGCTGAAAAGCTGCTGTAATTCTTGAATCCAGAGATAAATGTTGTATTAGTAAGATCATGACTCGGATAAAAACCATGCTCCTCATTACCATGGTTTTATGGTTTCTAATACAACAACAAAACTAAAAATACTACTACTAATAATAAATACCGCCAATCCAAACTGTATGCTAATTGTCAATCATCTTTGACGATAGTGGTCCTGACAGAAATAACAAGACCTAGCTTTTTTCTGTCACCGTCTAACATCTGCTGGAAAGT